TTTTTCCTTTCCAGTGGTAGGAGCCAACTTTTCTGCCATTCCTTTACGTACCCAAGAATGCAGTAAATTTTGCTGTCAGTCTGGGAACACTCCTTTAACAGCCCTGAAGCTCATAGCCAATGTCCGTCGTCCCTGAGAACTGTGTCAAAGGCTGGTGTGTTGGCCCAAATGGTGGTGGGGATCACTGTAGCCAAGGATATGGGAAGGCTGCCCCATTTTTATCTCTTTGTTTAAGCTTTGTTTCTATTATGAAGTCAACATTTCAAACTTGCAATGAAGCTCTGAGATTCTGCCTGGCAGTAACAGATTTCTAAGGGGTTGAAACAAATCTGTGCTTCTGTCTCAGCTATCCCAGAGTTTTTTCCCTGAATTTTGAAGCAACAGTTGGTTGAATCCAGTTTTAAGGTATTCCAGGATAATTGTATTTTAGAAGTGCTTCTTTTTAGGACAGCCTCAATTTTGATGCCATCCCAACAAACTGAGACAACCAGAGAAACTCCAAATTCCCAACAGAACCTGCCAGAATGTGCATTCCAAATCAGCATCTGTCTCCAGTGAGCAACCAGACCCTCCTCTCATGCAAGTCAATGTGGTCATGAGAATCTGGATGAATTTATGCTCACTGAGGAGCCGAAACCTTCACCTCTCTGCCTTTGTGGAGCAATCCCAGTGCCCCCCAGTAAGGGAATTGGTACCAGTGGGAACCAGTGTGGACTGCAGGAGCTTCACCAGTTCAGCTGCAAATCTGCCCTAAGTGATTTTTGTTTTACAGGTCCTTAATCCACTGGGTTAAAGCTTTGCAGTGAACAGAGTACAGACCAGAAGAGTCCAGCACTTCAGATTGCAGCTGCTAAAGCCAGTCATCCCCCTCATCTCAGTGTTTGAAATAAATCCTTACATGGGTATCTTAAAGAGCTGGACTAACTCCCCAAAGCATTAATGGGTGTTAAGTGGTGTGCTGAGATAAGAGTACATCCCATTGTTAGGAATGACCCACAGAGCTCAGGGGTCAAGTGAAATTGTGCTTATCTGCTGGCAATTCAAGCTTTTTTCTTCCTGTGTTTGCTGCCTAGAATTTTCTTCTAGGCGAGGGAAAAAAAGAACTAGAAGAAGAAAAAGGAAAGTGTAAACCAGCCTCTGTGTTAATCAGGAGCCAAGGGAGAGATTCCCTGGGGGCTATTGGCGGATGAAAGGCAGATGCAGGCTTTGAGTGGAAAAGCCAGGGGATGCCTTCCCTGCATGATGAACCACCAAATTATTACAAGTTAGGGAAGTCAGAGCTCCCTTCATGGGAACAATGGTGCAGGAAAAGTCCTCTTTCCCACTAAAAAACAGAGGAGAAAGAAGCGTCCTCACTACTTGATGCACAGAAGTCGGCACCAGAACCTGCTGGATGGCTGGGCCTCCTGAGGATGGTGCAGTGGGGCCCTCTGGTACAACATCTGCCTTGGGAAAGCAATGGCAGCACAGGGCTCCAGTGGGAATCTCCACTTCTCCACACTTTGCTGGACTCAAAAGGTTTTTGTAGCTGTAGCTGATGCGTTTTGGAGTGAACCGGGTGAGGGAAGGTGCCCAGCTCTGGAATGGACTCGCTGTTCTTGGCACAGCAAAGTCTGCTCTTCCTACCTGGGACATTCGCCCAAGGTTTGATTAAAAGCTTGTTGTAACCAGGAAGAAATGAGGTTCTTATGTACTGGGATAGTTCCCAGCACATCCATTTCACAGGAATGGCTTGCAGAGCTAGCAATGGCAATAGTCTGGGTCTGCCTTACCCAGGGGCACTTCAGTGGGGTCAGAGCAGCACCTGAATAGCAAGGTGACATCAGAAGAAAGGATGGAGTGGGATAAATGCTCTTTAAAAGCAAATAGAGAACATTTTTTCTTCAGTGGCAAGGGACCAACTTCTTTAAAATGAAGAATTTGAAGCCACAAGTGGAACAAGCAGCTGAACTTCTCTTTATTGCAGCTCTCATGACAGAGGCAAAGGGGTTTTGATCACTCTTGTGAAATGGTTCAGGCTGCTGGGCTGCATGCAAACTCTCCTAAGTAATCCTACCTTATTTCCCAAGCTCTGCAGTCTTTCTGAGACCTAAATCAGCATTTAGCTGCCTGGGCAAATTCCTGCTCCCACTGAGACCAATGGATGCTTTGCACTCACCTGCAGTGGGACCAGGATCTCACCTCCCTGTTTCCTTGTTGGTCGTCACACCAGAAGGTTTCCATGTTTGTCACGACCACAGAAATGCCTTTTGCATTAATTCCATGCAACCAGAGTTGAGATTTGAGATGTAAATATACCCCATTTAGGATGGATAACCTCTTGGCTCTGACCTGCTTTCTGCCTGAAGAGCACACAAGGAAGGCAATAGCTACATCCCTCCAACTGATGAATCCCTATAAAAACATTATTTGAAGGCTAAAACATTCAGATGCGTTCTTCCCCATGCATTAAAATACAATATCCATATACAATGACAAGTAGTCAAATGAGCAGCAAAGAGCAGGTCTCTGACACGGTGTGTTAAAGCAATTTGATTATAACCTGGGATTTCCCAACAGCTTTGGTTTCAGTGATGAAGGAAACCTGGAGTGTTGCAAAGTTGGGTAGGGAGGCTTCCATCGAGCTGTCAAGTCTGAGCAGAGAAATAAGAATGCGTATTCTCCTTCCTTCTGATTAATTGTTCCAGTCAACATCAGCTAAATTATTCCTATTGACAGATCTATGAAATACTTGCAGAATCAACAGCTAGAAAATGGATGGCAATGCACTGGCACCGTAAAGCCATAACATTTGTGTCTATTGCAATCAAGGCTTTAAAACCTAATTACTTCTGGGTGACATCAGTCATACATTTTCATGTGAAATTACAGTGGCATGCAAGTGCCCAGCAAAATAAAAGAAAACAAATGGTGTCCTATAATAACGGAGAAGTGAACTATCATTTTTAATCTGGCATGAAAGCTCCAACTGATGAAGCTTAATACAACTTGTTAAAACACCTAACAAGCGAGGAAGTGATTAAGTATTGTCCTTTTGCCTCTGGGAAATGGGATCTGCTCTCAGCAAGCACACAGTGACTGAGATAGCCCTTTGGAGCTGATTGAGCTGCACATAAAGTAACTTCTAATGATCTCAGTCCACTTTGAGCCATAAAGATTTAGAAGGGACAATATTTTAGAAATGATCAAGTTCCACTCTTTTTATTAGTGAGGATAAAACACCTTTGTGGAGGAAATTAAACAGAATAAATTGCTGAAGCCTTCTGCAGCTTCCATCATTTAGTGGTGTCGGAAGAGCGCAGCAGACACCAAAGGGAGAGCAGGAGCTCATCCACAGCAGAGCGAAGCTAGGGGGATGACTGCCTTTTGCTGCCAGACTGAAACACAAGGAGCTTCCAGGCTGGGTGGAATCCTGGCTGGTAAAATCCTTCTGGATAACTCCACTGTTGCGATGCTTGTGGAGAAGAACATGAAGACAACTCACAGCTTCCAGCTCCATTCCCTTTGTGGTGTGCCTGTGTTATCTCCCTCTATCCCTGTGGGGAAACTGAGGCACTCTGAAACTGTGCAGGGTTTGGGGATGTGCTCCCTCTGCAGCCAGGGCAAAGGAGCAGCATCCTTTGGAGGAGCATGCAGAGGACTCTGGGGATGCTCCTGCCCTGCTCTCTGAATTGCTGCGTTACTGCCAAATCCCCTCCAGCACTAACCTCTCCACAGGGATAAATCCACAGAAGTTCCTGGTTCCTGCAGTGGATCACAGCAGAACCTGCTGCAGTTTGTTCTTCTGACTTTTATTAAGGACACGTTTTTCAGGAGATGTTTCTTTTATGGTGCTTAAATTTTCAAGGTTAATTGTCCAATTTGATGTCTTTGGTTCAATAAATAATTCAGAGACGGTTTACGTCCTCCCATGTAAAGATGCCTACTGAGGTTACAGTCACAGCCAGGCACTTCCTCTGGTGTGCTATTAGCTAATGTGCTGAAGGCTTTTCCACCTCATTTTGGAAGCACTTGTGCTCTTCAAGAGGACATTTGAATGGAACCAAAGTTCACTGGAAGGGACCATAGTGAAGACAGCCAAAGCCACCAAGCTACTGATAAAGTCACTGCCAAGCATCCGTCGTCCGGTGACTTTCCTGTTGTCAGCCACCAAGCAGCAATAGCGCGGCAATAACGTTAGGTCTCAATAACAACCCACCAGCCTTCAGTTCAGCAGGTCAAATGGAGGAGCCTTTTATATGCTCTTTGGGGACTCTTTGTAGAGCAGCTAACTCAGGCAACCCTTTTCTGTGAGATTCTGAATTGCTACCCAGGCTGATAAGAGATGCTGCTAGAAACTTCACGTCGCTGGACTGCTGTGTGGTATATATGAAGTTGCTTCTCTTAATCACATTTTTATAGCTCTCTTGCAAACAGTCTACAAGACTGGCTTTCCTATAGGCTTTGTCTAATGGGATCATAACCCTGCTGGGACTTCAGGGTACCAATGCAAAGAAAAAAACCCTATAAATCATAAATATTCCTGCAGTGCCTTAGTGTGAGTTCCAGGGTTGGGGGATTCCCAGGGGAGTGATGCTGGGAATGGTGCTTGCTCCTACCTCCAGGGACCTGGACCTGGCAAAAGAGAAGGATGCTGCTTCTTTTATTAACATTGGAGGAGTCTCAGGGGACCAATTAGTTAATGTCTGTAGCATGTTACCAATATATAAAGCAAAAGATTTGCAGTGCTTACTAAATACCGGTCTTTTCCCTGTTAATCAAACTCCATGCAGCGTTAACAGCATCAGGATTTCAGCAAATCCACCAGCCCCAAAGCCTTTTGGTGCTTTATAATCTCAAACCCATCATCCCTCTCAAGTACCAAGGCAGGTGTGCTGGCAGTGCGCTCACCCCTGTGTCAGTAGGTCCTGGTGGATTCAGGTAGGAGCTGTAGCTGGATCGGTCCCGGTGCTGACACTGCAATGCAGCTCCGATGCAGAGCTCCTGGCAGAGGGACATTGATTCAGTGGCACCGTTGCTGTCCTTTAAATAAAGGTCACGTTGCAGGGGCTGGCTCTGCTCGTGTGTGTACCTGGAGGGAAGGCTGGACCAGGAGTTTGGGTAAGAGCGAGCTGCGGTGTCCTGTGTCAGTGCTGGGGTGGGATGGAGCCCTTGGTCTGCTCACCCTGTGTTGAGGATGCAGAGCTCTCCCCAGGTAACCAGGCATAGGACATGGGTATTCCCTCACTCTGCAAGAGCCTGGGGGCTCAGCAGGGTGAAAGCGGTACCTAGAGGATGCTATTTCCGTGCATATTTCCAGCTGTCTGGTTACTCCAAAGCCTATTTTTTGATCTACTCACAGAGAAAAAAGAAATAAACCCCGAATTTTGCCTGCTAGTGCAAATTGTGGCTACAAATATTCTCCCTTAAAAAAAAATGCAGCTATTGGCAAGCTGGCTCATAGCTGAGCAGGGCTTGCAGAGCAGCAGATTCTGAGGCTTGTAACTGCAATGTATTCAGGAAGCATCTGATCAAAGCTATAAGGGGGGGGGGGGAATTATCAAGGCAACATTGTAAAAGATGATAGTTGTTAAATCTAATTTCAATACTGTGTGTGCATAACCTCTAACTCGGAGGCATCTAAGCATTCCAGGCATGGCCGGTGCATTGTAATTTTTGCATCGTTTCACATTACTCACACGATACATTAGATGGACACTGAAGGATGAATTATACTTTTCAGCAAAACATTTTTGTGGAGTAAGTAAATTTATCTTGCAGGGAGAGTAAAAGGAAGAAATATGGCATTAAAATGTGCAGATCTGAGTTGAGCACATCTCTCTTTTTACAGGGAAACCATGATTTAAGTGCACTCTATTACTAATGTTTAATAAAAGCCATAATTCAGGATGTCAGGCTGAGGCTGTGTGCATTGAAACTATGATTTGGGGGAAAAATGACATGGACATTTTTCAGTACAGTAGCTCTTCTTTAAGCTATTTGTCTGCAGGCCAAAATTAGCTTTGAAATATACTTTATCTTTTCTAAAAAGGCATTGATACAGCGATTATGTGTTATCAATTAATTCTACCTGGAGCACCAGAGAGGATGGAGGCTTGTAAAGCTGGGTGCCTGTGACCTTCCCCTTTGCTTAGGAGCAGGCAGCAGGTCTCATCTCCACTCCTTTACCTGCTCTTCTGCATCACCATCAGCTCTGGGGGGCCTTGGGAAAGTTAGTGCATGCCCTGAGTAACCCTCCACCTGCCTGAAGCAATCCTCCCCAAATACTTGCTGTTCTGTAGGTGTCTCACCGTGTGTCCAAGGTGGAAAACCCCTGCTCCATCTATGCCATTGCCAACAGATTGTATATTGCTCCATCAACGCTGGCTCCGAGGGGAATGTGGAACTGACTGATTGATGGAGAAGCGAAGCAGTTATTGCATGTCTCTTCCCTTGACATTCTGCAGACCCAAGGTGGCAGACAGAGCTGAGCAGAGCTGCCTGCGGGCTGGCCTCTGCTTGCTGAGTAGTTGACACCCTGTTGTTGACATTCCTCATAGCATAAGGTTTGGTGCTTCCTGCTGCAGAACAAACCCCTGGCAGGACCTCAGCAACAGCACAACAGCAGAGCTGAGCTCCGAGCTGCATCCCTGGTGTTGCAGCAGCTCAGTGGGGCACCTGCTTGGGAACACAACCAGAGCATTGCCCTTCTCCAACCCCACCATTGCCTCTGAGAGGGTAATTCAGGCAGTGGAGCCCCTCCTGCAGCTCCATTAGTCATGTCATTAATGTCTGTGTGTCCCCATATAAACGTCATTCAGAGTTACCAGTTCCTCAAAGTCCATCGTGCTGTTGTTATGTGGGAGTTTCTTGCACCCAAGCCCTCAAACACAGCCTGTGACAGTTATACTGGAGCCTCGGGGCGCTCATGAATGTGTAGGCATTAGAAATGCTCCAGATTTTGTTCTGATTGCTCTTCCTCTACTTGCCCTCAATGAAAGGTATTATAGATATGCCCCTCTTCCACTCCCCTTTTCCTGCAGTGCAGGGTGCTGGGTGCTGCTGGGCAGCAGGTCCTGCCTTGATGGGAGCATGCTGACACCAAGAGACCCTCATGCATCTGCTCAGGCTGCTGTGAACCTGTCTCATTGAGACTGCTCCATCCCTGGGAGCGTTATAAACCAGTGTCAGGCTACAAAACCTTCCCAAAGTCATGCACACAGGTCAGTAACACCTGGATTTAACCCAAGCCAGAGCCTGACACAAGCAGTTGGAGGCAGGGGGGAGGATCTGGGCCATTAAATATCACTTTCATTTACAATCTGACCTGCAGCTGGGACATTTATTAGCACAAAACAGTTCTCCTCAGGGCAGGCAAAGCCTGGGAGCTCAGTGCTGAGCTTGGCCCTTGCTGAGCCTCTCCTGGGGAAACACTACCTGTGAGAGGCCGTCCTCCCAGGCACCCCAGCGCCCGCAATTAAACTCTCCTTAAACTTTAAAGGCATACTTAAATGTGTTTTTATAGCCCCATTACTTTCTCTTTATAACCCTAGGTGAAGGCTGGAATCCTGTCCGAGACATCTTAAAGGTTATATGTACAATTAGCTGCTTCTCATCATGTCCTTTAATATTTCACTTCATAAGCCAAAACAAACCCCCATAAATCAGGTGGATGCCAGTGGCCATATGGAGCGCAGGGGCACAGCGGGATGAGGGGGGTGCCATCCTTCCCGAATATTAACTCAGAGACAAAGGAAAACGGTGCCAGATGAGAGCTGGAGCTGTCTCATCGCGGTTCAGCTGGGATGCAGGGTCCCCTCTCTCGCTCCCTGCCCTACCCATGATGTTGGGGCAAAGGCTTTAATGACAGATGTGTAAACTTTGGCGTGGAAGGGTGCCAATATTTTGCATACTTACGCAGTGCTGCCATAAATATTAATGCGGTGCTAATATGGGAAGTTCCACCAGCTGTGTCCATTCTCGAGGGATACTTCAACTATTTATATTCGGGGTAATGAGCAAGCTGTTATTATATAATCAGGCTGTTGGAGAAGCCTTTGGAATGAAAGCCTCACTGAGAATTAGCCAACAACCGGAGCGCGTTTGGAGCCACGAGACATCACGGATTTAATGACAAGGGGGTTTGACAGGGCAGAGGCAGGACAGGAGGAGAACGACACAGGAGAAAGGCGCTCCTGAGTAATGAATGCTGGTTGGGATGAGGAGGGGTTTTTTTTTGCAGTTAGAGATTTGTCTCCTTCCATAGCATCCAGCTTTAGCCCTGGGAGCAGCGCTGGGAAAGCATCTGATATTTATCTTTAGCCTTAAGAGTGAGTTGCGTGCCAGAGCTGGAGTAGAGATGAGATGCCACCATGCTCGCAGCTTGGCTTTCAGCTCCCATGGGCAGACCCAGCTCCTCGGGAAGGAAGCAGCTCTCCCACAATACAGCACAGGCTCATATTAATCAAAATAAGTGAAACACCCCCAAACCCAAAGAAACACCAAAATTCCCAACTTGCAAACAAATAAATCCCAGATTCCTTGTACAAAATACTAAGCTCCTAAAGGAGGCAAGAATAAGGAAAGGTCAGTGTTTGCTCAGCTGCATCCACACTGAGTCACGAGCCAGAACAGACTTTATTGTGCTCCCCTCTCTCCAAGCACGACCTGCTTGCTTTAATCAGAGCTGGAATGATGCTGCTTTCATCCGACTTTTTTCACCCCTCTCGTGCTAAAGCTGGATTTGTGTTGATTTTATTACTGTTTTGGACTCCCACAACACAAATGACTGATGAGCCAAATCTGTGCCGCATCCCTGAATGTATTCGGCTCTTATTGTCTTTTTGCACCAGATCTATGCTTTTTACAAGGCAAACTTCTTCCTCTTTAAAAATAAGATACTGGAGAACAGTTTGGAAGTGATTTAAATCCTCTCTCCCCCTTTTTGGGGGGAACGATGAATATTTAATTGAGTTGAAGGCGGATAAATGATCATTTTCTTCATCCTATATGGTCGTGAGTAGTAAATTACCAGGAAACCCAGTTATAATTGCAAAATTGATAACAGAGGTGTGAAAATTTACACCTGTGATAATAAAGACTAGCTTCTCGTCATACACTGACATTATATCTTATGAGTTATCTCTTGTGCATGATCTAAATATTTCATGTAAGCCGGCAATCAGAGCCTTCATCTCGCCAGGTGAGAAATAACCTGCTTTTATATTGCATATGCATATATATATTACAAATAACAGCATGTTCTGCATGCACCTACACACCTGCACAGCAGCACTCCAAGAGTGGGTGTTTGTGCACCTGAACACTGGTGGAGAAACCCAACATCATGCTGCAATGCAGAGTTTAGAGGCAGCGTGGCACGGAGGGGAGGGCAGAGCGTCGTAACCTTGGGCAGATCCAGATTGAAAACTGCTGTTTGGCATCCTGGGCTGGACCCTGGTGAGCTGCTGAGCAAGAGGGATCTGCCTTCCCCTCTCCATCCTTCCAGATTTTGATTGGGAAACTGCTGAGTAAAGGGAAGCTCAAAACTTCTGCTCAGTATTGGCAGGGGCCATAGCGCTGGATCAACATTTCCTTGCCATCTTTGGGGTTCAGGACCCCCTGGAGGCTGGCACACTGCTACCACATACTAAAGAGGTGATGCTCGGCTGGTAATTAACCGCTGCAATCAGCAGGGCTCTCAGCAGAGCACGCTGAAACGAACCCTGTGCTGATCGAAATTAATACTGAGCAACCTAATGGGCAGAAGTGCACTCGCCAGTGTTAACCTAAGAGGAAATCAAACCCTTTACGCAAAGCTTTTGGCAGCAGGAATCACCCCTTTAATACCCAGCGAAGGTCTCGGCACTAACTCTGAATTAATCCATAATTTGGGATGATTTCCTCAAGGTCAAGGCTTTTTTTGCTGGGTCTGGTTGCACTGGATGCCAGAAGGGCTGGATATCCCTGGGAGTCTCCATGGTACTGGGGGCTTGGATCAAGCCCCCATGGAGCAGGGCTGGGAGCATGAGAAGCCATTAAGACACAGGGATTAGAGCCTTCAGCCTGAATCTGAGTCTAATCCATTACCCCCTTCATAGGGCATCACTAGGAACAGGAGT